GCTCTGAAGTTTAAAGCAAATTCTACTGCAAGTTTTGCTATTTATTTCCATTAGTATACAGTTGTTTTAGCCATCACCGTTATACCCCGTAATTTCTTCAGTATTCTATTTTTATTTAATCCACAATACCAATGCAAACATGATACTTCAAGTCTTCCCTTATTACTCTTCTCATCCTACAGAATAATACACTCAAGACATGACACTGGCTACACACAATCCAAACATAATTTGGGATCAACTGCATTAAGTTTCTAGTTAAAAGACACCTTGTCTAGGTATCCGTGTGTTGCCACGGAGTTACTGAAGGCATCCTTTTCTGGTGTTACAGCATCCATATCACAGACAGTTCTTCAACTCCCTAGACAGCATCTTCCAGAGTAAACACCAGACTACTCAATGTGAAGAGGAAGTTGCGGGAGTGCTTTTTTATGACTTGCAGAGCATGCACATTCACTTCTTGACAAAAAGAAAACTACCAGTTCCCTTCATCATGTCAGTGACGCACATTTCTCCAGTAAATTCTGGATCATTTGTATCCAGGTGGTTTACAACCTGCTTATTTCATGGTGGGTTACCAATTTAGGATGAGCTGCCCAGTTAACAGCTACAGCTTTTATTGTTTCAAAGGCTGCTGCTTCTCCACTCAGCTGGAACTCATGAACGACCCCATGCAAGTGACTGGAGAAGCAGCTCCCTCTGACATCAGAATCTCAGTAAACAGCTGGAGCATCTCAGAGTTCCTCACAGAGGTTTTCTGGAAGAATCCTTTCATTTGGCAACTACAGATATAAGTTTCTGGATAGTCTTAAAAAACATCTGTGTGTGTGGATTTGCTTGTTTTAAAAGATCAACTTTTTTTAAGCTGAAGCTTCCTTTTTAGCAAATCCCTTACAGTGCGTTACTACTTCTAATGCTAATGTCTTGAAAAAGAATCCACTGAACATGTGAATAATCTTTAAGAACATAAGTTTTGGCAGCAGATGTGATTTAACAATTAGTAGTGGAGCATATTGCTATACAATTTATCTTAATATTAGATGTATAAATCTTTAAGGGTTTCTTTAACCCTTCAACAAATTAACAGTAAAACTGATCTTCTACTGGAAACATGGTGACATTTTCTAGTTCACTATTAATAAAAGTTAATATAGCAGCAGTGCCATCTATTGGTAGGAGGTCATATTACCAACCATTTGATCCAACTGTGGTTTAAATAGTGTTACTGAGTGTTATTTAGGATGGTGATTTTTCTGCAACAGCTTTCACGGAGTACACGCGCTTCTATGTTATGCCCACTGCCACGGCATCTAGGCACCACTACTGCAATTAGACTAGAGCAATGATGATTGTGCAAGTTTTGAGGAAAGAACTAGCTGGATGCAAGGCTATGCCAGATGTTATGTTCTTTATGTAACTTCCATAAGAACCACACTGACAGGTAGGTAAGAACTAGGCAATACTATTTACAAACATCATACCTAAATATTTTCTCTCCATTATAGATCAGAACATCAAACACAAGATCAAGTACCTTTAATACAATGAAAATTTGATATTTTAAGGAACAGGCAAACCAGCTTCAAAAAGAATACTACAGCAGCATAAAATTGTATTCTGAAATGCCTTGTACAATGCTGAATATACTCTCCACACCTCAGTCAAAGTAACTGAATCAATCACAACAATCGTATGTCATGTTTCACTCTACAAATCACACTACTAAAGTGTGGAACCAGGACCTGGATCTGAACAATATTCTACTGATCAGGAGGTCTTTTAGGTTCTATATTAAAATGTCTTGGCAGTATTTAAAAGCTAAACATAATGTTTTTACAATTATAGTTCACAGCTTGACTAGTTTTTAGTTTTTTTAAAAACAGCTTTCTAGCAAATGAAAGTCCACACTAGCTACAAGCTTGAAGCTCATACAGTGCTGCCTAATTTTGCTATACCAAAATTGTGACTGACACAAAACTCATCTTCTGGAGCTTTAATTGCATCTTTCTCATGACTAAAAGGAAACAGGATACAATCTGACACAGAGGAAGTGACTTTACTGAATTGTTCCTACAACAAAGTTAACATACAGAGGAAGCAGTCATTTACAAAAAAAACTGTCCCGAGGGCCTAAGTTTGTTTGTTTGTTTTAGGGAAAAAAATATCTAAAAAGTTGAAAAGACTGGGTAGTTTAAGAAAACATGTTCTGGTACAGGCAGTAAGCAAACCAGGCATGCTAAACCAACCATGACGCACAGTCCATAAATTCTGATCTTGGGTGATCTAGAGGCCTTCTCTAGTCAGTCCAGCTGTAAGTAGGTACCTGCTCATTTGGGCTCAAGAGACAAAAGGTCTCTAGGTATGATGCCAGCCACATGACTCCATTGTATGTCACTGGCTACAAGAACCAAAGTGTCTTAGCTATGCTAGTCCAAGGGACTGCTAGAATCAGTTTGAGCTTTGACCTTTATTGTGATGAAAGCGCACACTACGCAAACTCCACAGAAAAATTATTTATGTAGACATAATAGCATCAAAAGAGAACACAAGTCTTTTTAGCTATGTGGTTAGTTACTTTGATGGAATATATGTTTATACCAGGTAGGAAGAGAAGAAATCAAAGAAAAATATCCCATAATGCAAATGCGATTTAATGTGTGACTGTAAATAGCTCCGAACAGACTGTTCTCCGAAAGATGAGAACCTCTGGCAAATATGGCCTAAACAAGACTGAAGGATGCATGTGCCTCAGACCCCTCCCACTGCTGTGTACAAGAAGAGACACAGCTATAGCTCTACCTCTGAATTTTAAGCCATAATATGCATTAGTAATAGTAGAAGTAGTATTTTATACAGAATTTTTATCAGCCTTTCATCAGAAGTGGGTTTTTAGAAAACAGCTGAATAAAGTGAAGTGAGATTCTGAGAGGGCATCTGATCAACCAAAGGCAGGAAGACGTCGTTTGGTAGTCATTGATCCTTCCAGATCACAGCGTATGCGTGAGATGTCACCCAGACCTTCAATGCACAGGCCCCGGCAGGAGTTTTGGAGGAGTGGAGGCTAGCTAGTAGGGCTGTGCAAAGCTTTGGGTGCCGATTCCATCCAGAGGAGATTCAGCCGAATCTCTGAATCTGAATCAAATTGGGAAACCAATGAAAAGGTCTGAATCGACTTGGAAAAAAAATTCGGAGATTCGGGCAGTCCCCATTCGCCGATACAGAGAGCTGGACCTGGGCTCTGTGCCGGTAAGTAGGGGGCAGAGGGGGGGATTCGAAGAGGAGGGAAGACACTATGGGGGGGGGAACCTCCACCAGGCGCCATCCCCTGCCTGCTCCTGCAGCCCTCCTGAGCGTCACCCTCCCAACCCCGGCCCACTCTCCTAGCCCCATCAATGGCTGCCCTGCCTGGTCCCAGCAGCCCAGCTCTTTAAAAAAAAAGCCCCACTCACCAGCTGAAGCAGTGGCCGTTGGGGCTTCTGGGGGCTTGTGGCAGAGCCTCCCATGCAGTGCAGGGCAGTGGGGATAACCCCCCACCTGGCAGGAGCCAGTGAGCACAGGGCTTTTAAAAAAAAAGCTGGGACACCGGGGCTGGGACAGCAGGCAGGGGATGGGGCCTGTTTGATTCAGAGATGGGGCCGAATCGATTTGGGACAGTGATTTGAATCACTGAATCGAATCACTGTCCTCCGAATTGGCCAAATCTAAATCCAAAGTAAACACTAGCCATTTTGCACAGGCCTACTGCCCAGACCTTCCACGCCCCCTTTAGGCCACTGTGACAGAATCCAAAAGCCAGGCTGAGTCCAGATGTTTGGTGCCTCCATGGCTGTATTTGTCTAAGTGTCCGGAAATTCAACCTGGGCCTCCTGTGAACCACAGAGGACTCCAGTGAACCACAGAGGACTCCAGGAAGATGACATTTGTGGAAAAAAAGTAAACAGTATCATCAAAGATGGAGTCAGTAGCAGAAAATACACAAAGAAGCCAGCCAGGCTTAGGTCTTGAATGCAAGGACAAAAAGACTAAACACGCAGCAGAAAGAAGCAACAGCAGGATGATTTATATTATGTTGTGTAAGGGGAATAAAAGCAGACAAACAGAAGAGATAATTAGCTTGAATAAAAGACAAAACAAAACATTAGAACTGCTTTAATAGAAATTCCAACTGACTTTTGACCATAAACTGGGCAGCACCTCAGAATCCAATACTAGATACAAAGTACCTTCAACTTCTGGGCTTAATTGTGATAAAGTTTTATAACCCAGTTTGCAATTTGAACTCTACATTACCAATATTAACTGCATGTATTTGTGTTTGATTGAATACTTGCCCAACATAAAGCACATTTTTAAAAGACAGGAATCCCTGAGAAGGAAATGTTTTTCATTAATTGAGGAAGCCTGTCACATTTAAATGCACGGGGCACATTAAGATGACTTAAACAAGCTTTCTGTTAGGCGGACACACATGTAAGACAAATGCAAGATACAACTAGGTTTGCACCATGCAAAATTAATAAACAGATCACTTGGACTTAATTTCACCAATGAAATCAAGTAATCTAATAAAGAAAAAAAAGAATGGCTAACTTGTCATAGAATAACAAAAGTGGGGACATTTTGAATGCCTAACAGCTTAAATACTGCAAAATTGTTTTGTTGGCGGGGGGAAGGTTATATTCACCTTCACAAGCAGAATGTCACACAGCGAAGAGTTAACACATCTATCTATTAAAACCTGAGCAGGAAAAGCAGCAAGAATGCTGCCAAAACAGATGTACAGGGTTGAGATGCACCATGGTGTTTTGTGTTCTAACGTAAGTATTTCTCTAGGTATGACTTGACAAAGCTGACAGACAAAAAAAAAGCTTACGTTTTAAAATCAAAAGAAACTCAGAAAGCTTACAGAATATGATATTAATAAGTCAAAACTTTGTTAAATAGGATCACACTGAAGTGATGACCATTAGAAAAACTCATGTCTTTTGCATTTGTTTTACCTGCTGGAAGAATTCATCCATAAAATGGTCTTTTTCAACAACAATAGTTGATTCTCCATCTTCTCCATTTTTTTTACACTGTAAAACCAAAACAAGTTACTCAATGTTAAACAAGTCTGTAAAACAAAGCACAGATCTATGTTCTGCAATAGAAAAGTAACAAATTACTTTTAGACACATTTAGCAGCAAGCACAGTAAAGTTATGCCTGACAGAAAGCTACAATTTGGTCCTCTTACTCTTTCTTTTTTTCTACTTTCTTCCCTTTCTATTTCCACCACCCCATCCTGCCCTCCCCCATTGTGGTTTACCTCTTCCTTCCTGTCTCCCTGCCCCTTCCTCTGGTCTCTTTTTTTGACTCCTCTTTACAAGCCCCAACTTTCTTCACATTTCTAAACCCTCACCATAAGAGCCAATACATACTAAAACAATCCAGTAAAAATTCCGCACTACTGATTTTCTGTATAAACAAGAATTTTTTCGCACTAAAATTAAGACTTAACAGCAAGACATAATGAAAAAACTTTTCTTGCAATACAGATAACGGGAAAATAGTCATGTCAAAAACTTATCATGTGAGAGGCAAGGATTTCTTTTACTGGACCAACTACATAGTTAGTCTAGCTTTTCAGTGCAAGACTTTCTTCCTCAGGTCTCTGATCACAGGAACCAGACACAGGATGGTCCACTAAAAGAACGCACCCTAAGAAAGCAGCACCAGAAGTGAGCTGCTTGCTTCTCATTTGATTTCTGGACCACCACTGCTACAACATCGCTCTTGCATGACAGCACAGGAAGTTTTATAGTGTAAGAATTAGAATTTCATAATTTTCCCCCAGCAACCCATAGATTTTGAACAGGTTAAAAAACTGTTATTGGTTCAAATATCACACACTTATTCGATTTAATTTGCCTAGTAACACCTGGCAAAAAAGTTAAACAGTCAATGGCAAAATGTCATTACAACCCTGGTTTCAAACACTTACATACATGCTTCATTTTACAGATTTCAATGGGATTATCTAGAACAGTAGTGAAAATGTTGTTCCTGATCCCACAAACACCTATGTACATGCTTTATCATTTAACTTCTTAAAACACTCAACGTCAAAATACACAACGGCTCCATAAATGCTATATTTGAATACCAAAGAGATGACAGTTGAGAGAAACTGGGGCAGGAGGCGGCACAAATCAGGAAGAGTGAAGTTTGTTCAGGAAAAGAGTCCTAAAGCTAATTATAAAATATGGAAAAATTTGGCAAGGAAGTTTCCAAAATCCCCATTAAAAAAAAACAAAAAACAAAAAAACAAAGGGGGTAAAGTTATTAAAAATAGAAAAATCACATTATGCTCTGCAAGTGATCTGACAATGTAACTGGTTTCCTCCACATTGGTACTGTGCATTTACCATGTTTTCTTACATATAATACACATTCCCCTCTCCCCACCCTGCCAAGTCAGCCCTCCCTCTCCTCAGCTGGGATGTGTGTTTTATGCGGGGAAGCAGTTCTCTTTGCTGGAAGGGGAGCACTCCTGGAGACACCGTGCATGCTGCACACCCTGCAGCTGTTAAGAAGGCTGCCACATGCATCTGCCCAGCAAACTGAAGTGGGGAGAGGAGTAGAGACCTGTGTTAACCCTTTCACTGTAGCTCCTGGCTGAGCTCTGTAGCCAGGTCCGAGGACACAAGTGAGCTGCTTAAAGTATTTTGATGAGGCTTGTGGAAACAACATGTTTATTTACAGGAGCTCATATAAAGAACTACTGTACATATACCAAAGAACTAACAGCCTTGCTACCAGCCTTTGAAAGGGTCTGGAGCCTAACTTTGTCTGACGCAAAATCCTACTGCAACCATCAGATCTACCACACCAGGATGTTCCTGATGCCACACGGCCTGAACACTCCACATTTCCAGGAGGACTTACCTCGAGTCTCCAGGGGCGTGTCTACCCATTGTCCTATGGCAACATGGCAATGTACACCATGCTATAGCAAGGTAGCAATCACATGCGTCTACATACAATCACCAGCTACACTGCTGTAGCAACATGCTCTCTGGGGATAGCACGGCACTACGACAACATAGCAGTGAACTTTATCCATGTGCTACATGCACGGCACAGCAACAGTCTGTACTGTGCCATGCTTTAGTAGTACTGCCAAAAGGAACTAAAGCCTCCCCACTGGCACTGGGAAGAGGCCAGAACAGCCCCTAGCCACAAGCCCACAGCAGGCAGGCCACCCTCACCATGTGCACAAATCCAAGGGGGCACATGCCCTCCATGCCTCCCCCAGGGGTGTGCGCAGCAGCAGGGACCCACCCCACTCCCCAGTCCCTGGATGAGCTGCCGACAGCTCCTTCCCACAACCTGCCATAGAGGGGCAGTGCCTACCCCTGTCCCTCTCCCTCCCTCACTGTGGGGGCCTTGATCTGCTCCCCCGCCCCTTCCCTCCCACACACTTATCAGCCGGATGCTGCTCTCCAAGCTGCCGGGCTGCATTCCTGGCTGCATGCACACTATGGCTGCACGCAGCATTTATTGGCGACATTATTGACTGCACTGGCCCAAAAAAGCCAATTGCCAATAATGTCAATTTTCCTTTTATCACTGCCGATCTGACATGGACCAATATATTGGTGTACCTGTACCGATAAAATAAAAATATTTTACCAACTTCCAGATAGAAGGCACCAAAAATGAGGCAACTGCCAGCCAACGCTCTCTGACTAAAAGTACCAGAGTAAATTCAACAAAAATGTACCAACAAGCATCTTACTACTTTTAGCTCTTGGATATTTCCCTTCAAAGCTGACATCTTGCACTGATTCACTCTTCTCATCTCAGATTAAGTGCACAACAGCACTGTACATGATAGTTATAGAACAATACCCAATGAATCCCACACCGACTACTGTTAAAAAGTCTCTTTTGCTCTTCTATCTTGGTCCTTAAGTCAAGTCCCTTCTCCACAACCAACCATCAGGATTTCCAATTGGCATAATGCTTATCCCAGCAGTTACTGTTATTGAGACAATCTGTGATTATATCCTGGTTTGAAACTGTGTACTTAAAAGGTTTCCAGTGAGACTTCTGCCTCTGTTCTACTCTGTGCTAGGGCAACACCACCTGGGGCAAACCAGAAGTCTTATAGCAAAAGACTCAGGCTCAAAAGACTAGACACAAATCAACACCAATTTCACACCAAACTAGTCTCACCAACACACTCCTCCAACTCAACGAGTCAACCAGCCTTGCTTGGCTGCATTTGCAGTGGCCATCAGGAGTGCTCTAGCACCCTACAACCCTCTCCCTTCAGCTACTAGTATGGGCCAACTGCAGGGGTCTGGCTGCCTTTCCAGTTTCAAAAGTGAATGTTGGTGCACGTTATTACTGGTTCAATCTAGGCAGTTTAGAGAAACCTGCAAAGACTGAATCGATTTAGCCTGGGGCTTTCTGACTGTCTGCACTTAGCCCGTATGAATAACTGTTAGCGCATGTTGCTCTCTGCCTTCAATTATTAAAAATGATTTTTCAACTTTAAGTTTAAACATCGAAGTATTGTTCTCCCTACAGTTTGAACCTTTCCCTAGTATATACACTGATCTTTTATTAGAAGGATAGAAAAACAGTAAATTGATGTCATATACAATTACTTTTATTTGTACGTGGCAAAAAAAATCTTCAAGTGTTATTAGTGTTAACAGTATTATGCATTATGTACATGGAATGTCAAGGCTTGAAAAATGCTTGTGCTGAGTCAAACAGTGCTGTAGAGCAAAAAGTAAAATCCTGGGGAATAAAAGCTGAATCACAATGAAAGAGGAGACAAAGACAGTACTCGCAAAGGCACATGACCAGCTTCAAAACAGTTGCATCTTCACATCTTACTACACTGAAAGGAAGGAGAAAATTCTATTGTTCAATAGAGAAGAATGAATGCATGATGATTTTCTACAGATCTCTAAAAAGCACTGCAAAAAAGGACTACAAGAAAACACTAACTCCTCCAACAGAAATGCAAAAAAAAAAAAAAAGGTTACAATTTGATTTACCTAATCTTTACTTCATATTTATCTTTAAAGCCTGGAATGACTTATTTACACAAACACATTTGAAAAAAAAAAAAGTCAACCCATAAACCCATGTCACCATTATTTACAGTACTGCGTTTTTTTCCTTTTTCTTGTTTATTTTCTACAAAATAAACAATAATTTTCAAGTTCAATCATCTGAATGGAAGCATCTGCAAACAGCACTTCTCTCTTCAAAAGATTGGTGTATTAATATAGCTCCTGAGAGCTTTTAGCTGGGCAGTCATGGAGACTGACATCCTCTGCCTATTTATTTAATATCCACTGCTTCTCTAAAAATACTCATTATACTCTTCTAGGAACCATGTTTACCAACCTTTATTTTAGAGCCTTCAACATTAGCATCACCCCCATGGTTTCAAGTCTGTTCAAACTAATGTAAGTTATACATAATTTGTAATATAATGTTATCTAATTCCCTGCATCCAAACTAGGCATAAAGAAACTGACTTTCACAGACAGTTTGACTTGTCCTTCCGAAATTGCTTTACCTCACCCAGATGGTTGAATTGCAAAAAATAAAAGTCACATTTGTGGAAACTGGACGGTTATGATAGATATAGGCACACTGCAAAATCAGTCAATCCAAAGGGCAAAAGCACAGAAATATTTTCCATTCTTAACTGGTCACTTTACTAAGCTTTGCTACTTTGTTGAATTCCTAATTTTCTTCAATGTATGTAGTAAATGAATATAAACAACACAATCTTTTGAAGCATTAGACAATTAATTTTAAAGGTTTCTTCTTTAAATCATGTAATTAATTTGGAGGTATATTTATGCTTGTAGAGATTATTGCACAAACATCAAAGAAGATAGGGCTGTGGGAGAAACACGCAACCTGGCAAAAACCTTTCTGTTGGGAATATTTGACCTGAGGAGGGGTATTTTGTGCCTGAGAGCTTCTCTCTCTCTCTCGCTGTTATACAGTTGGCCCAATAAAAGTAGAGGTGCACCAATACATCAGTCCATATTGAATCA